CCCCCCACCTCCCCGGCTGTCAATTGCGTCTTGTTTGTCTATTTGTACTTTTGCACATATTTCTAAATACTTAGCATTGTCCAATTCACCAAAGAAACAACAGCAGAGCAAGAAATTTTTTCGCCGCCAAATTAAAGAATTTGAATGAATGTAACAAAATTATTGCCCTTTTTTATTACTTTTATCTGATACAAATAAAACAACTGATATATATATCGCCCTATTCGATGCAATGCCAATCTAGCATTTGGCTTACTTTCCATAAGGTCTTTTTTACCAAAACGTTGGAAAATCCTACTAAAATGAGCATTTAAAATAATGTTGTGAAGTAATGCAAGAAATAGAATGTCGAAATGAAGTAGGGTGATACTAATTATTTTCTCTGTCAATGTTTACCTTAATCATTATTGAAGTCCAGCCTATGGGATCAACTTTTTCCGAATCTAATTTTAAGCACATTAGAAATCGGCACTTTCAATTATTTTTTAAAGTAAATATACCTATTGGTACAAAAATTGCGACCTCGAAGTAGCTGAATTTCCCCAGTTGTGAGTGTTCAAAGTCATAATTTACAAACTTTATTCTAAATAACTAAATCTTATTAAATAAAGTAGCAGAAAATTAGCCCTGATCTGAAATATTATTTGATCTTACTTTAGGCGCCAAGATTTGATTCGCGGCTATCAAGGGCAAATTTTTATTGGCCATCGTATTCACTTCACTATTTTCTATAATTGAGCTAATAGATTACTTGTAATGGGAATTAATGCATATTGCGTCTTCAAAGAGGTTTGTTAAAAAGTTATAGCTTTCCTTTAAAGCACACTGAGGACTTATTGGCCTTAGTAGAAGTCATTATAAACTTTCCTTCTGCTTAAAAGCACGGGGAGAATTTACTCATTCGTTGCCATGTCAACACCCCTATACAATGCGTGGCTATTGGCACCAGTGAAGCCAGAAAAGTAGCCCTTGACGTGACTCACTGACCAGAAATTGGCCTCCTTGCGTGGGCACTCAAATAATGACCCATTTGAGCACGAGACCTTCTTTGCCACCTCTCCCCCTTCCCTACACCTTTTACAGAGGGGTGAGCGCACGTGGCGTCTGTTGCATGCGTGCGCAATCGATTTGCGGCCACGCTTGGTCTCTTGTCCAATCGGCGAGCGCCTTAACGCAGGCAAACCAATCGGATATCTGAGCTGTGCTCAGAAAGCGTATGCGCACGTGCTGTAATGTCCGCATAAATTCTATACATCCGCACTTCGTTAACTTACAAACATACTCACGTAGGTAGATAGAACTCAGATAGTAGAGCTAAGGCCTCTAAATTGCACTCACGCGTCACGCTTACGTTCCTTCTTTCCTCTGTTCTTCCCACTCTCGCGTACAACAAGCTAAACTCTCTACTATTCTCTTCGAGTTTATCAACGACCTCCTATCCCTTGGCTAATTCTATTGGGATATTAACGTCAAGAAACCCATCTTCTGCTTAACAATCCTGGAGTCTTCTGTTCAACAGATATGGCTGTGAGTTACACCGCCAGCATTTCCGATAACTTCTCGAATTACCTCCTTCAGGACAACTACGAATATAAGGTTCGTTTTTCCCTCAACTACTTGAGTTCACATTTATTTCTTGTTAAATTTAATTAAATTTGACAAGAGGAGGATGAGGTGAGCCGATAGTAAGTTATTCTAAGGAGATAAATCACGCTAGCAGTTGATGAGATAGTTGAGTACACATTTCCGAATCACCTGTTTCAGTATTCAAAACGTTGGTCCTTTCAGTTTTTTGGATTTCCAGCATTACGGAGTAGGTTTTGCAAAGCGAGACACCGTTCATTACGCCCTATTTAACAAGAAATCTTTTAGTTAAAAAGCGTGTATTTTGTTGATCCGCTTGAGATCAGTTTAAATTATGGCATAATTATTTAAATTTGCACTGGAAGATGGTTAATTAAATACTTTTCAACAATACTGAGTGTACAAATTCAAGTTATTTTCGTTATTGAAACTTCTTGTGCGTATTCAAATCGAGCAAGAGAACAAGGCATAGGCTGTCTCGCAGAAGCATAATCGTGTTTCAACAAGTAGACTTCACCCATGTTCGAAAGAATATCCGACTGGTATCTGCATGCAGTTACTTGAATGAGATTTGCACAAATTCATCATTGACATATTAATAAATTCTTATGCGTCAATAATCTGATTATTTAAAAACTAAAGTCGCTTATTAATGATTGCAAATTTCAATAAGCTTATTTCAGCTTCGTTAAGTTATCGTAGGTTAAGTTAAAATAGTGTAATAGAAGGTGGGCCAATGGGTTAAAAAGTTACAATTATTTCAAAATACTCTTCTCAAGGTTAGTATTATAATTTATTTTTTGTCATAATTATTTACATTCCTTACTTCATTTAAAATGTTTCAATCAAAACAAGGTAGCACAATTGTGACACAAGAGCAGCAGGTGGAGTAGATGGTAAATCCTGTAAATTAAGTGATGAGAATAATTGCTATCGGCAGCCTGCTCAATAAAACAGGGAAGTATGCTTTTATGCTCAACAATTTATATAAAGTTTGATGCTGCAGTAACTAGATGTGTAATTTCAGGGTTTATTTGACAATTTAGCACTTTATTCAGTTTGGGGGTATCCATTTTGAGTACCACATCAGAGGTGAGCAGGTTGGAATAATGAAGATTGTTGAAATTGCCAGTGTTACTTAATTTCTCAGCTATCCAGTGCAGAATCAAATCTCATGATTACATGAAGGACATCTTGTTTGCGTTGAACCAAATCGGGCGTGATTACCGAAGGCTATTTTTCCCAACAAACTTTGAGTTGAAGTGCTAAATTCTTCCAGTAAGGCATCTGAACATTTGGAAATAAACACAGGCTTTGCCTTGAGGAAAGCATACTATGATTATTCAGTTCATTAATTGTAATTTATTTGATGGCTGAGAGAATGGATGAGCAACAGTGGACCAGTGCATGCAAAAAGCTAATGATTTGAAGGGTTTACTTGTTAATTACTGACAATATCCCGTGCCCCGAAGAACAGGGAAGGAGAAGTCCAAGCCATTTTTCCTTCTTCCCCCCCCCCCCCCCTAGGAAAACGGTAAAATACTGTCATTTACTTAAAGATGGACCGTGTGGCACTGGTTATGCACGCATATGTATCTCTAATGGGCACACACGTGAGAGTATAAATGAATCTCCTCTAATGCATTATGACTCTCCCTCTCTATCTCTCCCTTACTTCCACCACACTCTTCTGCTCATGCTTTCAGTGCGGTCAAAAGCAGAACTTGAGAGGAGTAAAATGGGAACTTGCTTGAAACTTAACGACTCCTCTTCTCCACTCACTTTGATACCACCCATGAATTCCTAGTCTGAAGCGCCCTTAACCATGAGTTAGAAAATGATCATTTAGATGAGTACATTTTAATACTCCTTCCTCTTCTCTTTGTAGTCAAGATTGTCTTCGGGATCATCCGTATTCGAAGGCTACTATCCAAGCGGTGCTTCTGCAACTCCTACAGGAACTTGTGATTCCAGTTCTAGCAGTGTTCTCAGTCGATTTGAAGTTCATCAAGGTGGACCACTACAAACACCTCCTCAACAGCACCTACAGCCGCAGCAGCAAATAATCGATCTAGAAGGACTCGATATAGATTTTATTCTCAGTAGCTCGGTGGAACAGAGAGATGAGGCTTCTGGGAGTACCACGTCAGTTTCTTCGACAGCAACTGGAGGACATTTAGTTCCCCTGGCACAGTCTCCACAATATACCGCTACTCCCAATCCTGTGACGTCAGCAACCGCGACTTCTGACATGATGTATCCGAAGCCAACCTCATCTACACCTACTTCAAACCCCATTTTTGTTCCAGCTGCTGGATTTTCTTACGCATCCAGTTTGGACCAGTTACCTGTCCCACAGTATACAACTCTTGGAACCCCAGTCACCCGATGGGAACAACCAGGCTTCTATGCGACCTCCTGTATCCCACAGAACCCCGTCCAATCGTCTGCCTTCAAAGTTTCGCGAAAAGAGGATCTTCGATATCCAACTGTTGGCTACCAATTCTGCTCTCAAATATCGCAACTTCCAGAACCTTCTCACCAACAACCCCAGCAAACCCAATCCACAGCTGTCTATCAAACCTCTTTCATCTACCCCAAAGACGCTGACTTTTATACTCCAAGAGGAATTGCGAATGGACTGTCAAGTCAACCTGTGCTATCAGCCCCAACAATTGGAGTTAAATCTCTACCCCCAAGAAGAAGAATGCGGACAAATGTGGGCTCGAATGGAGGTAATAAATCAAGTACATCTACAGCTAAGAAGAATGTGGCTCTTATCCATATGTGTCCTTTTGGAACTTGCGCTAAGGCTTACTCGAAATCATCGCATTTGAAGGCCCATATGCGTGTTCATACAGGGGAGAAACCATTCCCCTGTGACTGGGTTGGCTGCAACTGGCGATTTGCACGGTCTGACGAACTAACACGACATTACCGGAAACACACTGGAGATAAGCCATTTAAATGCGGTGTTTGTCAACGGGCATTCGCTCGTAGCGACCATCTCACTTTACACATGAAGAAACATCGGAGTCCCAATTAAGGAGTTTTACCTCACAACGTGAGACGCATTTAGCTTCCTATCTCCATACCTTCGTGCATCTTCCTTCCACCTGCAAAAAAAGTGATCCAGACTTTCGTTCTTTTTTTTGTCTTGTTTGAAGTCTCCCACCTTGAGGAACTATGAGAAAGAAACATATCACTTCCTGTTCTACGCCCACGCATAACCCGGCTGTGCACTACATTTGGTTACTGGACAATGAGGTTTATAATCTATTGGTTATACATATTATTATTCACTAACAACCTCCCATTCTAACTTACACACATACACACACAAACACACACACACACATATATATATATATATATATATATATATATACATATATATATAACTGCTACAGCATTGCACATATAGACATGACAAGCCCCACCACTAAGTCGTTGTACGTTGGCCCCCAGGCTGTGAGAATACGCCTTGAGAGTAGCTGGCGAAAAGGAATTAGGTTGGAAACTCCTTTTGGTTGGCTTGATACTCCTTCCTCCATCTTCTAACCAGTTGAAATTGTATAGAAAATTATTGAATGCTCTTTTCCCTGATTACTTTAGCGGCGAGTTTGTCTGTTTCCTCATTGACTTCTTCTCCTATCCTCCTACAACTACTTCTATCTTCCAGTAAATTAATACATCTATTGGTACCTTCCCATTGTCTTCAATAATTAGCATTGAATTCGCCGCTCACTGGTGGCGAAGGTGATTGAAGTTGAACTTATTGAGTGCGTTAAACATAGAAGATTTGAGCCAAAATGTGAGACGATTCAAATCGAATAACAGCTAAGAATGTGGAATGTGAGAGATTGGCGTTAAGGTTTTATATATTTTTTTATTGAAGGATATTCACAAAGAAAACCACCAGGGGGTATAGTTCCATGCTGGAATAATCTGGAATTTCGTTTGTAGGCTTCACACCCAATTTACTTTTCAACTTCAGACCCATACTTCTTAATTGGATGTCTTAAATATTATTAAGTCAAACATAATACCCAGTTGCCATTACATTAGCAAAATGTTTGAGTGCGCCTGCCCTAAATAGTGCGAAAATGACTGTAAAAATTGTATCAAGTTTCGAATTTCAGAAATACATTAATGCCCAATAGGGTTTATACATTGAGTTGCTTACTTCTACTTTCTAAATTGGTCAAAGTTTATCGTGGTTTAGAAAAATCCAGGCAAGAGAGTCGCTAGTGGCCAAGTGTGACAAGTAAGGGGTATAAAAATGCACTAAAAATGTTTACTTGTATGTTACCATGACAGCATGCTCATATTTTGTGCAATTGTTTGATCAAAGTGAGAGCAGAAAGAGAGAGAGGATTTTATTTAAACGTGCCGCTGCTGACACCTGCAAATGCGCGTGGGCGAATGAAATTGAAACAAATCAGGACTACCGGAAGCGTCAGGAAAAAGAATAGCAGTGGTTGTGTGGTTTCGCAGCCAAAAAAGTCACCACTGGGCTTAAACTGAGCATCAACCAACCAAACAAAAATTTAACTTTAACAATATATATTGTATAAATAACTACAAGTATTGTCCTCAATTTGAGCTACTTCGAAGTATCTAATTTTATTGGATTAGATTTAGGGCAATTATGTCAGTGGGTTGCAAAGATTGGAATAAAGACGAAATAAAAAAATTGGTAAATAAAATAATAATATAAGAATCCGATTCAAGTGAATTATTCCATTTCATTCATCATTTTTTATTATTTTAATCAAGAAATAGCCAATGTTACATTTTCAATTCTAATTGATCAGAATTCGATTTGAGGAGGTGGCTAATCAAATATAGTTTTTTTGCCCAATATAATTTACACCACCAAATTGAATTATCATCTGCAATTTACTAATGAATTTTTCGCAAGTGACACTGAAAAGAATTTCAGCTTGCAAAAAATGAAGGGACGACTGATTAAGTGTCATTTATATGAATGGCCTTTCTGTTTTAATTGATTTTGTTTTACGTACATAATTATATCAACTTAAGGTGTTAGGTTAGCAGTAGGAAAACGGAGTGCTGTTAAGAAGATGTGTAATTTATTTACTAGTGGCCATGTCAAGGCCTCGATAGCAGAATGCACTTGCATTCCATTGCCTACAACGGAAATGGCAGACGTTGGATTACCTAATAGGGCATATATAAGTTGCCCTGAAAAATTACGTAAGTTCTGCAATTCGTCTTCATAGGAATTAACTAACTTGAATAATTTAGGAGAATTTGAAGTATATATAAGCATTGAAGACATTCAAGCACGGTAAGATTGGCGTCGATAAATCATTATAATTGAAATCTTTGTGAAATTTTCGATCACGATTACATGGAGTTCAGAAGGTACATGGATTAACAAAATAACGTGGGTTAGTGAAAATCAATCAGCACACGGCTGTTTATAAATAAACAGGTGAAACACAAACACACGCACACACCCATAAAAGTAGGGCGGGTCCAACCAGTCCATTCGCTAAGAGAATTGACATTCTTGTTCAGAAGGATGTATGACGCTACTCAAAACCTCCACCGAGTTCATTACCTTACTGACAACTGTACCCTAAGGAAAATCAAAAAATGAGCCTTTGAGGAAGAACGAATGGTGCCTAAGTCCATTAATTCATCTAGACTTTCAATTTTTTGGCATAACATTGATTAAATAATTAATCAAGAAGCCCATATGATAGCGTTTGTAGTAAATTTAAATAAAGATAATGGACTAAATCGAACAGAATAACAAACACTGATCATTTGAGAAGCAGCAAAATTCAAGCGTTTTTTTAGAAAGATTGAATTCCTTCGGTACTTGAATTCATTAATGAATGGACCGAAATTGAAGGCTGAAATGCTTTTAACACTTCAAAGTTCCCTTTACTGCACTCAAGTGGAATGATTTACCATTAACCATTGCCATTCATAATTTTAAGTTAATGAAAATGTAAAGTAATTAAGAGTGGACAAGGTTTAAGTGATCCTGTGAGAACGCTGAAAGGGAAAGTAGTATTATGTTGCTATTTAAAAGGGGTGAATTTTTATATCAAATGGCAGGCGTTAAGATAGTTATCATTAGCCCTTTATTTAACTTCGGGCTTCACAGAAGGGAGGAATATCAAAGTCACAAAATGCCGAGAGGGTGAGCAGAAGAGTGATTCACAGAGGTAGAAGAGACAGACAGACAC